ATTGGTTTGGCCGTCTAAACCGGACCCGGATTACCAACAGTCACACGGCGTACTTTAGCTTCTGCATGTAACACCATCGCATTTCAACATCGCTAAAACTGGGGAAAAATTATTGCTTTAATACAAATTCCACGTTTTAAAATTGTATGGAAGTAATTATATGTTTAAAAATTCGGCGTCGTCCATTAAACGATGTCTAATTTCTAGAAAGGGGGGTGTGGAATTTTGTGATGATATGTGACTAGGGGAAGGGGTATTCAGAAGTTGTGACGAAATACTTTTGCATATTTAAAAATTAAAGTCAAAACCTGAATTCTCTCAGTGATTTTGCATTTTAAAAGCCAGTTTATGAAGTTGTAATAAAAAAAAAATTAATATACTCAAAGATGACCGAGCTCAGTATTTTAGAAAACAAAAAAAGATGTTTTTTAAACTTCCATTTTTTTAGAGTGGGGTGGGGTCTGACTGTTCGTGTGGATGGGTGAGAATTGTACGGGGGAGGTAAAATTCGTCAAAAAAGCGTGACATCATTGATGGATCACCCTTTAATACTATTCGACTTGTTAAATATCATAGAAAAAAAAATGAATAAAAAAATAAAAACAAGAATACAAAGAATACGTAAAAATGAATATTTAAATTAAAATATCGGTTGCATCTTTTCACAACCCTGCAGCATTTAACCATTGTGTGAGCAAAACTTCTCTTAACGTTGTGGCTTATTTTTGTGACAGTAGAGGTTACCGAGAGCGCGCTAACAATGTTTCTACAATTAAAAAAAAACCCACAAAGGAGAGTAGCGTCAAGCTCCCAAATGACATGAGATAGTCTCTGTTCATCACAATGTTAATAGAATTGTAAAGTGTCCTCTTCTGGGTGCGAGTAAAGCAGAGGCGTAGCGACCCTTCCCGGCGCCCGGGGATAAACTGTCAATTTGGCGCCCCTCCCCCCCCCCCCATATATTTTTTTTATATTTATAATGCAAAACTGCATCTAAAATGAGCTTTTAATTTTTTCCAACCCATTTTGGCGCCCCCAATATGTACCCCTGCCCCCCCCCCCCAGCTACGCCTCTGGAATAAAGTCAGCATTCATTAGTTATTTTTTTTAAATTAGATATTTCGCATTGTATATAATTAAACCATCTTATATGATTGTAATACTAAAGCGAAAATTGCAAGGCAAAGTGCCGCTTTAAATTGTTCAAACAAGCATTGATTGTTGATTGGATTACAAAGGCGCCGACATGAATGCCGGTACATTCTTGACGATACATCGGACTTTTTTTTAAAACATGTCGTGGATAAAAATAAATGACGTCTTAATTGATACGTGGCCTACATTCAAGGTGCCAAAAAATAATTATTGAGTGTATGGGGATTTTAAAAATCCATGCAAACCATACCACCTTCACATATTTATATTCTATTATTTTAAAATATGTGCTTTTAACGTATTTATAACTGGTGCCACATAATCTATTTCATATTCGCGCGTAAATTCATTAATCATAACAAATACACTTTTATTATACACACACACAATACTTTCATTCCATTTTCGAGAAAAGATCATTAATCTATTCGCGCAAATTTGTAAATTTTGGGATTGGGTGGATTTGTGGGGTGAGGCATATGTTTTACATCATCTAAGTGGCGTCGCTAGGTCGGGTGTCACCAGGTGCGGCACTTCGTTGTGTCATCCCCCCCCCCCACCTAAAAAATCAAAGTATATATATATATATATATATATATATATATATATATATATATATATATATATATATATATATATGTGTGTGTGTGTGTGTGTGTGTGTTTGTGTGTGTGTGTGCGTGTGTATATATGTGTATAAGCTTTAATCACTACAGACTTAATAGTAATGATGTTCGATGTTCATATCTTTAGTCTATTAATAGTACAATTGGATGTAGCATTGTTTTCTCTATAGTTAGCAGGTATACGTCATGGTTTCACCCCCTTCCTTTTGTAATAATTGTCGATTTGTACGTTAAAGACTATTTAAGTTTAATTACTCGTTAATGAAACTGGCAAAAAGCATTTTTCTTTTGTACATTTTGCAATTTTTTTTCCTTGTTGCCACCCCCCCACCCCCTAAATGGTGTCACCCGGTTCGGTCCGCACCCCCCGCCCCGCCCCGCCCTCACTAATCACTACGCCTCTACATCATCTAAATTGGGTAAAATTTCATATCTGAAGCCATCCTTAATCTGCTTTTCTTTTGCACATAAGTAATCTGGCAATTATAAATAGATCTATTTGCCTAATGCTCCACTTTATCAACCAATGGTAATCAAAATTCTATTTAACAAGATGTATCACCCGACTGATAAAAAAAAAATAATGCTCCATCTCTACTGAAATATTATCTTGCATTCGTTCAAAATAAAAAGCTTTTCAATACTATTTTTTTTTCTGCAATGCATATTCCGCTTCCTATTACAATATCGGATCATTCATCAAAACTGATGTCAAGCTAATTATAACTTCGCAAGTAGGTTAAACAAACTCAGGACTAAATTCCCCACCCACTCTCACACCCCGAATATCCCAATCGACTCGCCCGAAACTCGGTTTTTATTTCTATATGCGGTATGAAAGTTAACCCACTTAACAAAGCACTCCAAGGGTGTTGAAGTCACTTGAGTTCAACCAATGAAAACGCGACCTGCGCGGACGTTGAGATGGCTACAATCAGCTGTGTACCCTAGGCTTTATCGATGACCTATTTACCAAAACTTTTTTTATAAGACCATTTTCTATTGGTCAACTTTGCATGGGTAGTTAATGAACCGGATATGTATATAGATCTAGGTCTGTATACAGTGGCGTTAGCAGGAAGTGGTCGGCTGGTGGGGGGCGGGGGGCGTTTAAATGTTTATATTGTTTATATTCCTTTATATATTCCTATGCCAGTTAGCCAGTTATGCAAAACACTGATAAAGTATTAGTTTTATGGTTCAGCTGTATCAGAAAATGTCTGTTTGAACTTATTTAAAAAAAAAAAAAAGATAACACAATTTTTTTTAAATCGGGCGCTCTGCTGTTAAGTAGTGTGTGTGGGGGGGGGGGATATCCCATCTGCTTAACCGGGGGTCCGTGTACAGCAGTTGTGCAGTCGATATATGATTCTATCAATTGAAGTGTTCTTCAGCAAACAAATGCGGTGTATGCACCTCACCCCCCCCCCCCCATGGAAAAATAATCTGGGGAGGGGGGCACTGGGTGTATACCAGTAATGCCATACCTTTTACCAAAAACTTTTGCTAGATGAATGAACAGGGTGACACCATCTAAAGGTGTGACAGCCTAAGCAAAAAGGGTAATTAAGGTCTGCTCCTCTACCCCGCAAGTTACATGCGTCATCTGGCACAGGCTGAAACAAATGGTGTTGGGGATATATATATATATATATATATATATATATATATATATATATATATATATATATATATATATATATATATATATATATATATATATATATATATATAGTCGATGGAGAAGAGGGTGAGAGCCTTGGCTACTTTTAATGGCTGTCACCCGACCTAGTGACTCCTCTAGATCAACGTACATTTGCAAGGTGTGTTTATGGTATCCATTGAAAATAGGTTCATGTAAACAGTAACAGACCCGGACATTTCTTCTTTAGCCTAGCAACGTAGGGGAGATCGAAGATGCTGATTACGCGATCTTTATCGTTCAAATTTGGTTTAGTTTAAATTCAATGGTTCTTTACCTTTTGGAGGTACCCAACTCCACCAATTACTTAAGGGAATTCGTCGAATCTTTTTTAATAGGTATTTACCGTTCGCACTGACAAAATTCGATTGTGAATCATAGGAGTAGGGTGTATGTCTTGACCTACGTCAAACCCTTGGGACTGACTCGCCGAGCCCCTGGGGTTCGATCGAATCCAGGTTAAGAACCACTGGTTTAACTTTATCAGCGTTCGAACACACTACCCTAATCAAGACATTAATGTACTTAAAGAACCAGCATTCGAAAGTCTGTTTATATACATGTTAGGAATAATACTGCTAGTTTTAAAGTAATTAATGTAACTGAAAATGTAAGTGCATTATTTTATCGATGTATGTAACCGCAAGTGTAAGTGCATTATTTTATTGATTTATGTAACCGCAAGTGTATTGAGAATTCCACGCGGATGTAGATTTAAATGGGAGTTGATTATTTTAAAACGTAGTTGAGCACGAATCCTTAAATTTAATTTGTCGTATAAAATCTCTATCTTGTCGATTTTCCGAGAAACGTCTGTTGTTGATCAAATAAATACCTTAAACCAGACAATTCTGCCTAAATAAAACTTCGCATTTAACTAAACTGCTTACAGAACATACAATTTGGTTGGTTGATTGTCGTAGCATCTTAGTAAATATAGATTTCAATATCTAGGTCACTAAGCATGCTTTTTATTTTTAGAAGAAAAAAAAGTGGACAGTATGTTGCGAGTTCATTGTAACCAAAATGAACTATGAAATGAAAGCGTTAGTATAAAAAAAATCGAATGTCAAAAAAATTTGATTATCATGCATGAACACACCGTGAGAAAACTAAATCTGTGTCAGGTTATACAGCCAATCAAATACTTGTATCTTTGTATTGGATGCATTTTAACCAATCAGAATTCTGAAGGATTTCCTGATTGTAGTCTAGGCCAGGGTATACACAGCTGATATCGATTATTTTTTATTTTTTTAAATTCCGTCTAAAGGTTAAAGCCTGTTGACCTAATTATGCAAATGTACAAGGGGTGGTGTTATGATGTAATTATTCCCATTGACCTATTATATTGGCCATTCTTTAACCTCCCCTTGAAAGTAGTGTATTTATGAGGAAACTTAAGTAAGAAATATAGTCGATCTAGGGCCTACTAGAAGGATTCTGGGTAAGTACTTTCAGTTTCATCCATTTTATTTTAATCATAATTTTAATAAATAAATCTAGGCTTTAACTTCTAGATCTAGATAGGCTGTGATTTCTTCAGTAGCATAGAAAAACCAAATAATCAGGTTTCTTTCCTGCATCTTAAATTGCTTTATTATTTACTGCTTTAAAACGTACTTTTTAAAACTATATTAAAATTAGATTTCTAGTTCTTTCTTTTCCGCAACTCGTGCGTTGGTGTTCAACTGGAGCATGGGTTGCCCTATTTTATTCAAAAGCTATTTATAGAGGCGGATGTTAGGCTAACAACTAACATAGCTGACTTTTTGAATCGGGCTGATTGGCTGAATAATATACACAAGGAAATACGCTGTGTGCTACTATATCAGCAGCTTGGCGTGACGAAATAGTTTAGTAGTGTGTTCAGATAGTCTAGTCGACTAGTCTAGTTAGTCTAGTTACTAGTAGTTGTAGTGGATCTAATGTTGTCTCATCACTGACACGATGGACTATTGATTAGCTAATTGGGTAAGCATGCAATTTTGTCACTTAAGTAATAAATCTATGTTGATCCAAACTATTCTAAAATAGTTGACTAGATTCTAGATCTAAATTTAGATCTAGAGTGAGGAGATCTAGATCTAGATTCTTATTTTATTTAATATTTATTAGAATATTTCTATTTTCAGTACCTATGGCATAAAATCATAAAATGCAAATAATCGTCGTAATGAATTGAATGGTGTCAGTAGGACCTAGATCTAGATCTATAGTAGATAATTAATTAATAGTATTGGCCTACTAGAACACTTTGTTAGTTATGAGTAGGTACTAGGATTTGGCTCCCGTTTTTCGATGCGCGGCGAGATTTTCCTCCCGTTACCCAAATACCGAGAGTTGGCGGACGCGCGAGTGCGAGTGTTTCGTAATTTTTATTATTCTCCGTTTTTGCCTGGTCAATTTTATTGCGAGGAGTATTATTTTGAAGAAAAATGGACTTAGCGTATTATATATTTTTTTAAAATATTTTCATGGACTATTTTTTATGGAGTGTTTCATTGAAAATAAGGTAAGTTTGACTTATTCCCTAAACTTCTCTATGGGCTCTACTTGAAATTTTATTGCATAATCTCCATTCTTATCCATTTTTCTCTATTACTATAAAAAATCGTAATGATTGGATGTGTCTCTTAGCTGCAAAACGCTTCACAGTTTGGTGTACTGTTTGGGACTTTAACTGTTTACAGACTGGAAGTGAAAGTGAACCGGAAGTTGTCGGGTCTCGCTACTAACACTTGTGTGACTTAGTCTAACTGATATGCTTGTATTACTGTAATTACGATTGTGGCGATCGTTGTTTTGACTCGGGCGATCGTGGCGAACGCTGTTTTGATTCGGGCGATAGTGGCGAATGCTGTTTTGATTCGGGCAATAGTGGCAAACGCTGTTTTGACTCTGGCGCTTATGGCTAACGCTGTTTTGACACTGGTGATAGTACCGAAGGCATTTTTGACTCGGGCGTTGGTGGTGGGCGATGTTTTGACAATGGCGATCGTTGTTTTGACTCTGGCGATAGTGGGAAACGCTGTTTTACGCAGGCGATATTGGCGAGCGCTGTGTTGATACTGGCGATTATGTCGAGCTTTGTTTTGACGCCCGCGATAGTGGCGAACGTTGTTTTGACGCCGGCGAGCGTTGTTGTGACGCCGGCGAGCGTTGTTTTGACGCCGGCGAGCGTTGTTTTGATAGTGGCGATCGTTGTTTTGATGCCGGCGATAGTGGCGAACGTTGTTTTGACGCCGGCGATAGTGGCGAACGTTGTTTTGACGCCGGCGATAGTGGCGATCGTTGTTTTGACGCCGGCGATAGTGGCGATCGTTGTTTTGACGCAGGTGATAGTGGCGAACGTTGTTTTGACGCCGGCGAACGTTGTTTTGACGCCGACGAGCGTTGTTTTGATAGTGGCGATCGTTGTTTTGATGCCGGCGATAGTGGCGAACGTTGTTTTGACGCCGGCGATAGTGGCGAACGTTGTTTTGACGCCGGCGATAGTGGCGATCGTTGTTTTGACGCAGGTGATAGTGGCGAACGTTGTTTTGACGCCGGCGAGCGTTGTTTTGATAGTGGCGAGAGTTGTTTTGATGCCGGCGATCGTTGTTTTGACGCCGGCGATAGTGGCGAGCGTTGTTTTGATGCCGGCGATAGTGGCGAGCGTTGTTTTGATATTGACGGTAGTGGGGGGGGGGGGGGGGGAAGAAAGGAAGGTCGGGTATTAACAATACACATTAAATATTTGGTGTATTCAGAAAACCTTTTTATTTTGATGGGAAGGCAAATAATGTACTTGTACTCTTTACTTTTCCAGATAGAACCTACACTTCTAAAACCAGCACATCTCTACAATATGATAAGCAGTTACATGGCCTAATGACAGTTATATGGTCTAATGATGGAACACTATGTAAAAGAGAAATTAAAACTATTAAAATAAATAATGTGTTTATCTTTTATTTAGGCAAACTAATTAATTTGTGATATGAACTATTTCCTTTAAAAACCAACCAATGTTGAACTTCTCCTGAAATGTAATATATTAACGAATAAGCAGAAACACATCTTTTTAAATTAAACTATATATATAAGTATACAAACAAGTTTATTACATTTATACGAATAAAACACCTTACATTTCTAATAGGTATAATTTGCCTTTTTTTTTTTAAATTTAAATATAAGCGCTCAGTTTTTCAATGATGTCAGGTGTGTCGATGACTCAGCATTTTACATTTTTACCATCCTTTACCTATTTGTCAACTATTTAGATAGAACCATCACACACACTTATTTTAGAGCTTCACTCTAGTTAGTTGTTAGCTTTAGATTCAAATAGATTGAGCCTAAACAAATAGTGTATGAACAAATTTCGTATTTAAAAATAGGGGGTGTACCCTGTTCCACCCCTTAATTTTTGTCAAACAGATAGATTTAAACACATATTTTGATTGTTTCTGTTTGAGAATAGAGTCATCTAGAGCCAGGCAAATTTTGAGACTTAAGTGCTTAATAACTCAAATTTGCCATCATGTTGCATTTCACATCAACAAGACTTCGGTTTTGCGAAATTGTATAATTTATCAGCTTTGTAGCAGTTAAAACAAAAATCTTTTCAGTTATGAATATTATTTTGATTGTAATAACTGACACATCCATAGCTCATCATTCTCAGCAAGTTTGAGCTTAATTTTTCAAAGTGTTAAAATTTTAACTGAGATTTTATGAATGCACTGTATATGAAAAAATAGGGGGGGTACCCTGTTCTACTTCTGTTTTTGTTTAACTCTGCCCATAAATTTCTAATTTTATTGTTTATTATCCTTGCATATATGATAGATAAAGATATTGCAAAGTTATAACCAATTTGACCATATGGTTTACAAGCTAGGACAATTTTAGTAAACGCTTAAAAAAACTCTATCACAGAAATTGGAAAAAAACCTATGTTAAAAAAATCACCTTTTTTAATACGAAAAAAAATCATAACTATTTAACCGTTTGAGCTACATCAAAAAGGAAAACTGTTCTGTTATTGTAATTTTTAGCTCCTTTTAACTGTAGTGGTTGTTTCCCTATTAAACCAATTTTCAAAATTTATCCTAGTACCTAGTTATGAGAGTTGACTGAGTTGTGAGTTGTCTCACGGCCTCACGAGTAGGGCAGATTGGCCATCGTAGGTTTTTTAAGGCTAATTTTGAATGTTGTAATTTTTTCTTTTACTTTTAGAAGTTTACTACAAGTCTGGCCTATGGAAATCTATAGCTATAGATCTAGATCTAGTTGTAAGGCCCCTGGTTATTTTACATTCTAGGGTCTAGATTATAATATTAATAAACAAGTAGTTACACTACTGTGACTACAGTTACACTTTTACACTACAGTTACAATACGGGTTAGTTTAGTGCTCCAGCTCTCTACCGCTAGACCACTCTGTCCCCTATTACTATTAGTATTAGAAAAGTGATTAGTTTTTTTAGGCTAAATCCAAAGATATTGTTTAGAGTAGCTACAACAGGCCTAACTAATTAATTAGTAATTTTTACTATTGAGGCCTAGTAAATAGTAATTACTAATTAATTAGTATGCTATTTACTAAGCTTATAAATTAGGCCTATAGATATTTCTAACACTAATCTTTAGAGACTAACCTAAAACTAAAAGTGTCTTCTAAAGACTAGTAAGTAAAGCTCTATAGTCAAGTCAGTATTTGAGTATAAATCAGAGTTTCTTGCAGGCTTCTCTTGGGGATATATATAATTTATTTATTATAATTTATATTTATATATTTCAAGTGCTCCCCCCACCCCTCAAATTGTATAAAATGTCTGAAAGAAACACTGGTAAAATGTGGTAACAGTTGTTACAGTTTCTGCTGATGTTCCATTTTTAATAATGACAAGAGTTGTAGACTTAGTAGGCCCTACTATGTATATAGATTTTAGGCTACTTCTTTAAAATAAAGTTACAGTTATTGCCCTACATATTTATGTATTTATTCTAGTGAAAATGCATGCATTGTCATCATTCTGAACATCAGTAATTAGATAATCATGTTATTATTGTTTTCATGCCATGATACTAGCTACAGCTAGATTTGTGATGTTAGGTACAATTGCAAAACAAAATTGTTTCTATTTTTTTATTCTTGATTCAACTTAGACATATTTTAGTTATTGAATTAGTAGGCCTAGAATTTAATAATTTTATTTACTCAGTGACTTAAAAAGTAAGTTAAAGTTTTCCTTTCAAACCTGATGGTCTATGGGGCAAGTGAAGAAGAGTACACTTGTTTCTGTGACCTCGGCATATGAAGAGATAGTGTGGTCAGCACTATGCCTTTACTTTCCCTAACAAGAGTTAGGTACCCATCAGAGTTGGGTACCCAGGGACGGTCTACTGACTTGAACTCGGATTCGAACTCGAGACTTACGGGTTAACAATCCAGCTCTCCATCGCTAGACCACTCCGTCCCACTCAGTGAATTAGCACTAGTTGAAACTTGAATTTTTCTTTTCAGATTGAAAACAAGAGAAATATATATTTTCTATTCTTCTACATCATACATCGCTCAATTTAAAGAAAGGATAACCTCAGCCAGCTTGTTTATGGCGCGTCTGCTCATTGAAGCTATAAGTAACGGGGAACAGGCACTGGCCCTGGAGATAATCCGCCAGGGTATCTTTGGATGTATAGACAGCCAAACATCCAGGAGAGATGGAACAGCTTTGTTCTTCTGCTGCAGTCGGGGATTTTATGACCTGGCTAAAATATTACTTGAAATGGGAGCCAGTGTATCGTCTACAGACAAGAGCTTAGCCACCCCCTTACACGCGGCTGTTGATAATGGACATTTAAATATTGTGAAGTGAGTAAACTTGGCTGAAATAAAACTAGTAATACTATATTAAACTTATACTTATATTAAACTATATTAAATTAATATATTAAATATTGTTAAATAATTTTCAAAGAGCCACTATTTATTTCTAATTTCTTACATATCTTTAAGTTTACTTTTTTTTTTCCTTTTTGCATATTGGACATGCACGTTATTAAAGCATAATTTTCATAAAAGCCGAGAGTTATTTCTTGCAGGAATCTTTGAATAAACTTTTCAAAAACTTTCTGTATGTTGCAGGTTATTATTAAAGCACGGCGCTAACGTAGACAGCCAGACCTGCAGGGGGGACACACCCCTCCACCTCTCTGCATACAGGGGGTATGAGGAAATCACCCACTGCTTGATTGAGGCTGGCGCTAACATTCTGGTGGCCAATGCCAGTAACCAAACCCCCCAGAGGGAAGCTTTCTCCCAGGGGCATTACAACATCAGCAACTATTTGAAGAACCTGCACTACAGTAAGTAGTTGTTTTTTTTAAAATTAAATCTTAACCCGTGGCAAAGATAATTTGATTTTCTATATAATGTATTATATAAAAAAAAAATCAAACTGTATGAACCAAGTCTAAAGCATTCACTGCTAATCCCCCCTCCATCTTAAAATAAACATATTTTTTTTGTACATTAGCCAAAACAGAGTAACTGGCAAAATAAACTTGTTCCTTCCAAAATATTCCCCTACCCTGGCCCTAACATTAACAACAGATTTCAATTATAGTTACATTTATTGTGAGGATTATGGTCAATTTGTAATTGACGAGGGGGGGGGGGGGTGAACTCATGTCCTAATACAAATTTTTGGATGAGCTGTAATTCATCTGAGGTGGGGAAGGATTAGTTATACTGAATCTACAATACTGAGTATTCAGTACAGACTTTTTCAAGAGAGGGCTACAATAATTTGATACATTTTAACATAAAACTTGAATAGACTATAAGACATTCTTACATTTTCAAAATATTACCCCCCCCCCCCCTTACTATTTTTGAAACAGTACACCTTACGCCTTACTCGAATTCTTGTTTAAAAGTTTGCTTATAAAGAAGAGGTGTATGCACCGGCTAGCCTTGCTGTTGTGATATCCTGTACCGCCCCCGTCAGCAATCCCCCGACCATTCTTCACATGAGCTCTCCTGTCAGCAAAGTTAACTGCCGTCTACACTAAAAATAATAACACAAACAATACAGAAACACATTAACCTCGTTTTCACACCGTATTGATTATTTATAGGCTTGCCTGTCCTCAAGCAGGAAGTACTCGAGTATTTCACCTAATTATACCGCTGTTTGTTTTTTTTGTGTTGTAGTTAATTTAATGTAGAACCTGTTTACGCCTAGACGCGGATAACAATAATTCTTAGCTTGCTTGTTTTTTGTTAAGGACAACGAATACAGACATAATCGATTCCGCTGGCCCTTTGATTATTAGTCACGGATTTGACAAGTTCTCATTACGACATCACAAGTCGTCTGCCCCATCACTCATCGTCTGCGTGGCTTGTTCAGACATTGGGGGTGGGGGAAGGGGGGGGGGGGTCGTTTCTATTATAAGCTACGAATTATCGTTATGTAAGCTTTTTTCTTGTATATCGGTCGTTACTTGATCTAATGGGGAAATATTTCGAAGGTTTTGTTGAAACAAAAATTTTTTTTTTGTATAGTGGCCGTATTTGTTCTTTATCAGTGCCACAAGACATTTAATTAAAGAACACATTTAACCCCCCCCCCTCCTCTTCCATACACACCCACACAATGTATTAACGGTTGTTTATCATTTAATTTAATAACACATTCACCTCCCACCCCTCACATACAACACCCACCCCTCACATACAACACCCACCCCTCACATACAACACCCACCCCTCACATACAACACCCACACAATATTTTAACGCTTGTTTACGCAAGCTCATGTTTTTTTTTTAAAATACCTCATTTCCCCCCCCCCCCCTCACCAAACATAGAAATTACTTGATGATCATTTGTTGCTTATAATCCGTAACTTAACGGGATGTGTTACGTTGTTACAACATGGGGGGGGGGTATTGGCTCATGACATGACCAGTCATGACCGCGGGGGTTGCGTGTTACCGGAAACAACAATGACTGTTTCGTCTCTGTCGTCTGCATGTCACATACATGACCGACGTGTGACCCACGATGGTCGTTTTCACTAGGAGTGTTTTGTTGGAAGTGTGGGTGTTGAAAGTGTGTGGGTGTCTGTGTGTGTGTTGAAAGGGTGTGTGTGTGTGAGTTAGAAGTGTGTGGGTGTATGTGTGTGTTTAAAGTGTGTATGTGTGTGTGTGTATGCGAGTTTAAAGTGTGTGGGTGTTGAAAGGGTGTGTGTGTGTGTTATAAGTGTGTGGGTGTCTGTGTGTGTTGAAAGAGTGCGCGCGTGTGTGTGTGTGCGACTTCAAAATGCGTTGGTGTCTGTGTGTTGAAAGAGTGCGCGTGTGTGTGTGCGACTTCAAAATGCGTGGGTGTCTGTGTGTGTTCAACCTTTATTTCTTTTCATGGTTTATGTTCTTGATGTGTTACAGCCATTTATAAAACTCCTGAGCTTAATATACCTCTACCAACGTACCATCAGTATAAATGAAATATACTTTTTAAAAAAAAAACTATTTTCTTGCACAATACACTTCTGAAATCACGATTTTAAAGTTTATTACTATTAACAGTATCGACATGTATACGCACTGCAATGCTCCATTAAGATGCCACTCTTAACCTAACCTTAAGGGCTAATTCCCCGACATCCGGTATACCATCAATATGACAATGATCAATCGATGATACGAATTATTCTAAACCAATCCCCACTACCATAATTGTATACTTACCGTTTATAGTGTTTGAATGTGATTGTAAGTGAATCAGCAACGCCCAACTTAATTTTAGAGCCCCGTTTGTTTTGTAGCTTTAATAATAGGCCCTTAAGGAAACACCCGTGAAATCTGATTCTAGAGATGTGGGCGTGTGGCTCAAGTAATGTAATTTCCCAACATTACAGACACATCGTGGATCACTTCATATCCGTGTTGACTTCTACTAAAGACAACACTAGGGTCGTAGGTTGGAAAACAAACAAACGCCCCCCCCCCCCTCCTACCCCAGGCGTTAAAAGTCAGCCGAAATCGTGAGGCGACGGGTGGGTTTTCTGACGATGATTCATCACACGAGACGGTAGGCGTGTTCCGGTGACGCAATACTATTACGCGCGTACGTCTTTGAGGTCCATTCATGCGTGAACAAATAACAGTCGTATCAGGGGCGTCATCTAAGGATATTCCGGTCTAATATTAGCTTTTTTCCGTCATTTCTTGGCCTAGTTTTATTCTTCTAAGAAACATGTGTTTGACCTTTTTTGATGTTACATATTTTCTTCTAGGCCGTTTTCGTTTGTTAATTTAAAAATATTAATAAATTATATATATATATATATATATATATATATATATATATATATATATATATATATATATATATATATATATATATATATATATATATACTAGCCGTCCCGGCCAGGCCCTGCTCTGGCTTCTGTGAAAAACCTTTCTGTTAAAGACCATTACCTGTGTGTTTAGTAATCATCATAAACCCGGCATTGCACACCCAAACCAAAACCAAAACAACAAAACGCAAACATAACGCTAACACAATTACAAATACAAACGAAAACAAAAACCTAACAACTAACCCAACCACAACCACAAGCACCAATACGAACACAAAGAAAAAAACAAACGAAAAAGTAAACGAAAACAAACCAAATCCAAATGCAAAACCAACCACAAACCCAAAGAAAAAAATACAAACGAAAAAACAAACGAAAACAAACCAAATACAAACGCAAAACCAACCACAAACACAAATACAAACACAAACGCAAAGAAAATAAAACACAAACGAAAACGAAAAAAGAAAGAACAAAAACGAACCAAATCAAAACGCAACCACTAACGCAAACCCAACCTAAACACAAAGAAAACACTAACGCGAACATAAACGCACAGTGCTCAGAGTCTAGCCCGGGGCGGAATCGCCTGTTTCAGCTTAATAAACGACTATAGTACCCCAACTTATTCATAGTCTTTTGCACTCACTTTAATGAACGTAGGCGCGAAACCGAACACGGGAGGCCCGGGACCCCAAATAGCACCCTGTCTGGGCGCCAGAGGACGCACCATGACGTCACCGCCTGATTGAACTTAGTAAACGACTATAGTACATAACTTATTCATAGTCTTTTGAAGTCACGCGAACGTATATACCATAGCGTACACCGGAAGGCCCGGGGCGCCAAATAGCACCCTGTCGGGGTGCCGGAGGACGCCCGGATTTGATTCACTTAAAGACTATAGTAACCTTTCTTACCCATAGTCTATCGCACTGTTAAAAACAAAACTATGCAGCATAGCGCTCACATGATAGCCCAGGGTGCCAAATCGAACCGTGCAAGGGCGCCGGCGGACGCGCCTGTTTCAATTTAGTGAACAAAAATGATAATACTCCAAGCTTATCCGTAAATGGAAAGAAATAAACATATAGGATTTGTAGGACCTGGCTTATTAAATGTTATTGATTTAAAAAAAAATTATTGAACAGTATGTTCAGTGTATAGAATAAATAAAAGGCAGTGTTAAAAATACCTAACGACATTGCACTTAATCAATCCCCGCTAATTATGTAATTATTTTTTTTTCTTAACACCAAAAACAAAGTAATAATAAAATGTAAATTCTTTCTTCTTAAGAATTTTTTTTTTATTAAAGGGAAGTAACTGTGCAGTCAATACATTTCCGACACAATTTTATAAATTTTATAAACGTCGATACACTTTTTAAAAATTTTATGTCGCGTTCATAATTGAAAATTATTCTTCTAAGTAAATAGAGTGAAAATTGTTTTTAAAGACTTTCAATGGTAATTTTTTGACTCGTAAATTTAGACTATGAGCACGATAAAAAATCTAACACTTAAATCCGTAGAAGTGTCAACGACAAACTTTTTTGTTTTTTGCCACACGTTACAGAACTGAGCTTTATATATTAGATATATAATCTTGACCTATTAGCAAAATCTGCCCATACTCTCTAAATCTATCCGTATTTCCTAAAAGATCTCTGACCCAAATTCTAGCACTATTTCCTAAAAATGATCTCTGGTCCGAGATCGAGTTCATGTCACTAAATGAAGCTCTTAACCCCAACTCAAATAACCAGATCTTTCTCTGTTATTTGTTTTCCTAGTCCGTGTGTACCTAGTGGGTAAGGACGTCTCGATTTCTCGCTCAATTCTTGGCTTGTAAAACATTTCAAAACTCCACCACACTCACCACCCGCTCACAACTCACTCCACTTGCCTGCTGTTGCACTAAGCACCTTGTTAACTAGCTAGTTGTTGCACCAACCAGCTTGTTGTAATTATCGCACTAACTACCATGTTCTTACACTAACTACCCTGTTTTACACTAACTACCATGTTCTTACACTAACTACCCTGCTGTTACACTAACTACCCTGTTGTTACAATAACTACCCTGTTCTTACAATAACTACCCTGTTCTTACACTATCTACCCTGTACACTAACTTCCCTGTTCTTACACTAACTACCATGTATACTAACTCGCCTGTTTTTACACTAACTACCCTGTACACTAACTACCCTGTTCTTACATTAGCTACCCTTTTCTTACACTAACTACCCTGTTTTACACTAACTACCCTGTTCTTACACTAACTACCTTGTTTTTACACTAACTACCTCGTTCTTGCACCAACTAAACTGTTGTAACAACGGCTGTCCTGTTTGTACACTTCAAACGCCTTTGTTTATTCCTAGTTGTTGTTTTTCTGTCGAGCTGTTGTTTGTGCTTATGTTAGACAGGAACCTGAGTGCTATCTCAGCTGTCAGCCCCGAACTTGTTTTCTAGATTTGTTACCGGTTCACATTCCGGTGAATGACCCGGAAGTAAAGTCATAATTACATGCAACCTAATTTGATTGCTATCTGGGGGCTACCTTGTTTTGAATTCCGTGTGTGTTATTTGTTTTTGTAAACATTAAATATGAACGTGTGTTAACTCGGTCGATAATGGTTTCACAGAGCGTCACTTTTCCGTTTTAAGGTACCAGTCAGCCATGTTTCGACATCACCAGTTTATCTGGTTGTTTGAACTGCTGAAGCTAAGAATGTGACCGGGTTAAGGGTGAGGTTAGGACGGGTCGATATGAGAGAAATAAATCCCTGATTTCCTTATTGTTTAAAACTTTGAATTTAAAAAATAATCTATTTCAAATAATTTGAGTTTTTCTTTTTTTTTATTTTTCGTTTTTTTTTTCTTTTTTTTTTTTTTCTTTGCCCGTTATAATTTTTTTTTTTTGACAAAAATAAAAGACTCCTTCATTTAGAATGATAGTTATTTATGCCACTTAAAATTTAAAAAAAGGGTGGGGGTGCTTTTGCCTTTTTTTAATAGAATAATATATGTTTAAAAAATAACGTTGTTACAAAACCATTATGTAGAATGGGGAGGGGCGTTAAAATTGCATGGATGGCGATGGAACGGAGGGTTGCATTTGAAATGCGTTTAAAAAATATAATTACGTGTATCAATGTATTGAGCTTGTGATTCGATAGTTGGGGGGGGGGGGGGGTTAATGTGTCGAGTCCCCTCCCCGGGGCGCCACTATAAAAATAAGGCACATAGTTTGTGTGGATGGGGGGGGGGGGGTAAACGTGCAGACTTGTCTGAGCGGGCTCAGCTTAAATCCAATCCAAGATCCCACGTCCCTTTCGCGACTACCAACAACAGAGGAAATATTTTTCAAAAAAAAAAATTATTTTTTTTTTCCCGTAAGAAATTTTTTGTTTCGTTCAGACAGAGACAGGTTTTTAAGAAAACTCCGCTTGAAGAAGATGAATGTGCTGAGAGTTGGCATGCAGGAAACCGCTGACGTTCATTAAAACGGACACGGCTGGGGCCGAGCTTTTCAGACCCATAAATTAAGGGAGGGGTAGGGGAGGCTGATCGCACAATTGTTCACGTAACATTAGGGGACAGGGGGGCGTTTTTTTCTTTTCTTACCTTCCGCTATCTTGGAGCCGATGTCGTTGATTAGTATTCAGATTCCTTATTTCATGGTTCATCACTGTCATTAGATTTTATCCGTTGAGACTTTTTTGTTCTAAAAACGGCTTTTTGAAAAAAATAAAGTACGTTGGACAGTTCTAGTTTTTGGATATATATATATATATATATATATATATATATATATATATATATATATATATATATATATATATATATATATATGGATATTTTTATACTGCTCTGATTATTATTACTGATTAGTAACGAGTTGTTTTGTTGTCTTCACCAGCTCTGTATCCAGATATGTCAATGAGCTGTTTCTCTGACTCCATGATACAACTGGATCCCCCGAGTGAAATATTCGACCAGCCTGAAGAGAAACCTCACCACAAACACCAACCATTCAGCCGTGACACCAGCTCGACCACTGCCAGTCCATACTTCGCCAGCGCCCCTAAAGCCACTGCCCCTAAGGTCCATCTCCCTAGTCTCAGTACCCCCACGGTCAGCCTCCCCAGTCTCCCCACCCTCAGTCCCCCCACCAAGTGCAATAAAACCAAGGATGAGAATCTCGAAAAAGTCAACCCCCTTCCCTGTCCCAAGACGAGAAGTAAAACCGACCTGAAAATAAAAGACTTGGAGCTGATAACCTTGGAGCCTCCTGCAGATTGTGTACTTCTGAGCCCGGAGCCGCGCCCAAAACAGGAGCCGCAGTCTCGAATTCAGAGAACCGTCTCCCAGCAGCATCCTAGACCCGCACCCCAGGCTTCTCAAAGACATTTGTCCTGCGGGTCTTTCATCCCCTACGACGGTTCTCAAACTGTAACCAGCTGTTTATATAGCCCCAACAGCGAGAATGGAACATTTGACGAGATCTTCAGCATTGGGCAAACTAAAAACTCGACGCAGAAATCAGAGAACAGTAAATTAGACAGTTTTAGAATATACTCCCCACCTCCTATGGAGGATGATATCTACTTCCCTCCCTTTATTGACTCAAAAGTTACCCCCCTTTCTCGTGTATATAGAGTTTGCTCCCCTCCTATAAAAAGCCCGAAAATTATACTCTCGCAGTTGGCTGTCTGTAGAGATATACCCAACTCAAAATCGCCAACATCGTTGCATAATAGTAGTAGAGTATCGGAAGAGTTTTCCGACATCTACGATTCGTCCATGTTTAGTATTTCATCCCTTGAGTCACTACCGAGTGCCGATCAGGTTCAGCTTGAATCACAGCACGGTGAAAAACTCAACGCACCGTTCAAGCTCCAACGTGCTATCTCGGATAACGAAGCCAGGTTTCCTCCGAGCTGCCTCGCTAAACGACCGGCGTTCAACAAGAGCGTCTCGGTCGACGTACGGCCGCAATTGGCGCACCAACAGCTTTTTGTACAGCAACAGCCGTTTGTACACGAACAGCCGTTTGTGCATGAGCAGCTGTTCTCCCTCTGTGGCCCGCCCTCCTGTCAATCAAACAATCTGTCCTCCAATCTCTTGTCATTATCCTCATCAAAGCCCGCCTCCATGACTTGTGTTAATATACCCATTAACTGATATTTATTAAAAATATTTTCTATTGTTGAAATGTCTGCGTGTATTCTATTTCTTTAAAGTCATATTTGTTTTGTAACTTTGTTTTTTAAAAAAAAGAAAGAGTTCTAAGTGGTATTCACCAGGCTTGCTGAGAGGGGCCTGATCATTAGAGAAGAAACCAGATTGTTTTGACTTTTTAAAAAAACCACAATATTGTTTAGTTGCTTAAAGTTATAAATATCGAATTTGTAAAAAGGTAATACAAAATACACTTAAATTGTTAACATTATGTGTAAATAATATAACGCACGGTTAAAAAAAATTTTCAAACGTTTCTTTGAGTCCAAACCTCTGTTGCCATTGAGTCGAGAAATACCTGGGGACTATAAACTACAGGTGCCAGATTTTCTTACCTGGTGTGAAAAGGATGTTTACATAGTGTAACAACTTCTGTGTTGATAAGCATTTCTCTTTTTATACTTCTGACATGTTTTAAAGCCTTTAATAGTCTGCTAAACAGGGTAGGCATCATTCATAAATATTAACATTCAAATCAAAGATATAAATTTTTACATTAGCAAAAAAAAAAATTTAAAAAAAAAATTAATTATTAAAATAAAAACATAAAAAACAACTAGAGGTGGAATGTAATTTCGCATCTCTATACAGGTAGGCTTTCTAGTTTGAATGCTCGGCTTCTTCACATTGGCCTAGCTGTTGTGTTTCTCCGTGCTAGACATCTCCTTGTGTTCGTCAGGTGGTAGCTGGTATTGTTACGTGTTTTAACTCTTATCAACCCGGAAGTAAACGACCTTTGTGTTGTCTTATGGTTCAAGGCTATCTTCATCTAAACACAGTGGCCAGCATACATACATACGGGGTGGCCAACAGGTCGATCCACATCCATACGGGCTGGCCAGTCAATCCACATCCATACGGGCTGGCCAACAGGTCGATCCACATCCATACGGGCTGGCCAGTCAATCCACATACATACGGGCTGGCCAACAGGTCGATCCACATCCATACGGGCTGGCCAGTCAATCCACATACATACGGGCTGGCCAACAGGTCAATCCACATCCATACGGGCTGGCCAGTCAATCCACATCCATACGGGCTGGCCAGTCAATCCACATCCATACGGGCTGGCCAACAGGTCAATCCACATCCATACGGGCTGGCCAGTCAATCCACATCCATACGGGCTGGCCAACAGGTCAATCCACATCCATACCGGCTGGCCAGTCAATCCACATCCATACGGGCTGGCCAGTCAATCCACATCCACACGGGCTGGCCAACAGGTCAATCCACATCCATACGGGCTGGCCAGTCAATCCACATCCATACGGGCTGGCCAGTCAATACACATCCATGCGGGCTGGCCAGCAAGTCAATACACATCCATACGGGCTGGCCAGCAAGTCAATCCACATCCATACGGGCTGGCCAGTCAATCCACATCCATACGGGCTGGCCAGTCAATCCACATCCATACGGGCTGGCCAGCAGGTCAATACACATCCATACGGGCTGGCCAGCAAGTCAATCCACATCCATACGGGCTGGCCAGTCAATCCACATCCATACGGGCTGGCCAGTCAATCCACATCCATACGGGGTGGCCAGTCAATCCACATCCATACGGGCTGGCCAACATGTCAATCCACATCCATACGGGCTGGCCAGCAGGTCAATCCACATCCATACGGGCTGGCCAACAGGTCAATCCACATCCATACGGGCTGGCCAACAGGTCAATCCACATCCATACGGGCTGGCCAGTCAATCCACATCCATACGGGCTGGCCAACAGGTCAATCCACATCCATACGGGCTGGCCAGTCAATCCACATCCATACGGGGTGGCCAACAGGTCAATCCACATCCATACGGGCTGGCCAGTCAATCCACATCCATACGGGCTGGACAGTCAATCCACATCCATACGGGCTGGCCAGTCGATCCATATCCATACGGGGTGGCCAGTCAATCCACATCCATACCGGCTGGCCAACAGGTCAATCCACATCCATACGGGCTGGCCAGTCAATCCACATCCATACGGGGTGGCCAGTCGATCCATATCCATACGGGGTGGCCAACAGGTCAATCCACATCCATACGGGCTGGCCAGTCAATCCACATCCATACGGGCTGGCCAACAGGTCAATCCACATCCATACGGGCTGGCCAGTCAATCCACATCCATACGGGCTGGCCAACATGTCAATCCACATCCATACGGGGTGGCCAGTCAATCCACATCCATACGGGCTGGCCAGTCGATCCACATCCATACGGGCTGGCCAGTCAATACACATCCATACGGGCTGGCCAGCAGGTCAATCCACATCCATACGGGCTGGCCAGCAGGTCAATCCACATCCATACGGGTTGGCCAACAGGTCAATCCACATCCATACGGGCTGGCCAGTCAATCCACATCCATACGGGCTGGCCAGTCAATCCACATCCATACGGGCTGGCCAGTCGATCCATATCCATACGGGGTGGCCAACAGGTCAATCCACATCCATACGGGCTGGCCAACAGGTCAATCCACATCCATACGGGCTGGCCAGTCAATCCACATCCATACGGGCTGGCCAGTCAATCCATATCCATACGGGGTGGCCAGCAGGTCAATACACATCCATACGGGCTGGCCAACAGGTCAATCCACATCCATACGGGGTGGCCAGTCAATCCACATCATTACGGGGGGCCAGTCAATCCACATCCATACGGGCTGGCCAGCAAGTCAATCCACATCCATACGGGCTGGCCAGCAGGTCAATCCACATCCATACGGGCTGGCCAACAGGTCAATCCACATCCATACTGGCTGGCCAGTCGATCCATATCCATACGGGGTGGCCAACAGGTCAATCCACATCCATACGGGCTGGCCAACAGGTCAATCCACATCCATACGGGGTGGCCAGTTAATCCACATCCATACGGGGGGCCAGTCGATCCACATCCATACGGGCTGGCCAGTCAATCCACATCCATACGGGCTGGCCATTCAATCCACATCCATACGGGCTGGCCAACAGGTCAATCCACATCCATACGGGGTGGCCAGTCAATACACATCCATACAGGGTGGCCAGTCGATCCACATCCATACGGGGTGGCCAACAGGACAATCCACATCCATACGGGCTGGTCAGTCAATACACATTCATACGGGGTGGCCAGTCGATCCACATCCATACGGGGTGGCCAACAGGTCAATCCACATCCATACGGGCTGGCCAACAGGTCAATCCACATCCATACGGGCTGGCCAGTCAATCCACATCCATACGGGCTGGCCAGTCAATCCACATCCATACGGGCTGGCCAGTCAATCCACATCCATAAGGGCTGGCCAGTCAATCCACATCCATACGGGCTGGCCAACAGGTCAATCCACATCCATACGGGCTGGCCAACAGTCAATCCACATGGCCAACATGTCAATACACATCCATACGGGGTGGCCAACAGGTCAATCCACACACACACAAGCTGGCCAACAGTTCAATCCACATACACACGGGCTGGCCAGTCAATACATATCCAGATTTATCACAATTTTGGCGTTTTATGCGTAATGGAGTCGGAAAAAACTGGATTATCCAATTGTGTGCGTGTGTAAACACGATAACTCGAGTACCGTTACAGCTAGGTTAATGAAATTTCATATATAAGTACTGTATCAAATTTGTAGATATGTATCACCTTTTCAGCGATTTCCGATAACCGGAAGTGGGACGTATTCTACTTTCAATTTTTCAATGGCCTATAACTTGAGTACTATTTCAGATAGATAAATGAAATTTCACATGTTAGTAAAAGATCTAATTTTCTGCCTTCTGTCAAATTTTGGGTGATTTCCGTTGACCGGAAAGAGTAATTTACGCTATTGCCGATTTCTCAAAAAATGCAAGAGAATGTATAAAGTACTAATGATATTCCGCACTATTATACACATTTTGTTTGCATTCACTTGGTGCGCAATTCTTTTTTTCTACGAGATTCTATTCTATTCTATTTTTAAAAGTTTAATTAAGTAATTGAAAATGGATGAACTATAGTGTCTATATCCCGAGTTGCCATCCCCCATAGTGTTATAAGGGAGCATTGGAGAAATTTTAGGGGAGATCACTCCCGGTTAGTTTGAAAGGCGTCCCTTTCTTTGGGGGGATCCAAAATTTTGTGATAATCGCAATCATATCCAATCAAAGCTACATGTTTGTCATTAAAATTGAATAGAAGTATGCTATAATAAAGCTACCGTTTTTAGACTTTCAAACAAAGCCTACAGTTAAGTATTCAATAGGTAAAATATAATGTTTTCACAAGGTTATATAGCTAGAAAGATTTGTTATAATTATTACGTAATGAAATTTAAAGCGCTTTATTGTCTTTTTCAAGCAAGTCTTAGTTAAGCTTGGTTAATTTAGCTATTCTTGTGAAAGTTATTTCCCTATAATAAAATTGTGGTATTGGATTTTCAAATGGGAGATAATTCGTTGCTTTACTTTATATTCATTTCAAATTCCTGCACCTTAGGTTGACCGCTTACATATAAATACAACTTTAAGTTATTATTTGCTATTGTAATAATTATATAGAGCTTAAGTTCTAAACAAAATAGTTTGGTAGGTTTTAGCATTATCTAGTTGAAAAACAAATACATCAGTAGCCGTTGTAGATTGCAATAATAGTAAATTAAACATCTAATTAATTGTCTTTTCATATTTTTCACCCTCTCCTAAAGGATTCATATATAACAATTTTAGGCTCGAATCTATAACATTTATAACATTTTATTTTTTCAAAACAAAAAAATCGTTACATAATCACATAATATAGACATTTTACATTTATAAAGACAGTCAAGCGTTAAACAGGTAAGTTCCATTTTGGAACTCACCTTGGGAGGACTGTAGAGAACCCAACACTACAAGAACTTTTTTTCAGTGTTTTTTTCCCAGACTTTTTTCTCCCGGGAGGGGGAGGGGAGGGGGGGAGCACTTAAAACTTCTAAGGATGG